AATGTTATTTGTAACATCAATAAGGAAAAATCTGTAAGATTTTTTATATTATGTTTTCATTTATAATATGGAAAAATAGAAAATAACTTATATGTTCCAAAACAGGATTAATTATAAAAACAGTGCTGCTTTCACGAAATAAGTCAATCAGAGAAAGACAATTATCATATGATCTCACTGATATGAGGAATTTGGGAAACAAGACAGAGGATCATAGGGGAAGGGAGGAAAAAATGAAACAAGACAAAACCAGAGAGGAAGACAAACCATAAGAGACTCTTAATCTTAGGAAACAAACTGAGGGTTGCTGGAGTGGAGGGGGGTGGGAGGGATGGGGTGGCTGGGTGATGGACATTGGGGAGGTATGTGCTATGGTGAGCGCTGTGAATTGTGTAAGACTGATGAATCACAGGGCGCCTGGGTGGCTCAGTCATTAAGCGTCTGCCTTCGGCTCAGGTCATGATCCCAGGGTCCTGGGATCGAGTCCTGCATTGGGCTCCCTGCTCCGCGGGAAGCCTGCTTCTCCCTCTCCCACTCCCCCTGCTTGTGTTCCTGCTCTCGCTATGTCTTTCTCTGTCAAATAAATAAATAAAATCTTTAAAAAAAAAAGACTGATGAATCACAGACCTGTACCCCTGAAACAAATAATACATTATATGTTCAAAACAAAACAAAACAAAACAGTGCTGCTTTCAAATGATGAAATACCATGTAGTCATTTAAATGATCTTGGAGAGAGGCATCTGGGTGGCTCAGTGGGCTAAGCGTCTGCCTTTGGTTCAGGTCATGACCTGGGGGTCCTGGGATTGAGCCCCGCGACGAGCCCCGAGACAAACCCTGAGACAGGCTCCCTGCTCTGCAGGGAGTCTGCTCCTTCTTTTCCCTCTCCTTCTGCCTCTGCCTCTCCCCCTGCTCCTATGCTCTCTCTCCCTCTCTCTCTCTTTCTCTCAAATAAAAAATAAAATCTTTTAAAAAAATGATCTTGGAGAAATGTATTCATGATGTAGAAAAATGTTCATGAGACTTTGCTGAGTTTTAAAAAGGCAAATCATAAGCACTGTATTTTGTCATTTTAAGAAAATTTATAGGAAAAAATTATAGGGACAAAGAAAAAAGTCTGGAATGTAACCACATTTGACAGTATTTCTCTGGTATCGTTATGGTATTTCTAATCTCTTTCAATTTATCTATATCTTCTGATTTTTTAAAACAATGAACATGTATTATTATGATTAATGAAAGAAAAAAAAAAGCCAGGGCACAGATTGTGGTCTCTAAAGAGCACTTCCTACTAAAGGGAAACAAGTGTCCTCAGAGAAATGGCTGATGCTCTGCTGACTACGGAAAGCAGGCTAGCTGTCAAAGGAGTCAAATGGATTTAGGAGCCAATCTAAAGAGGTTCCCAAGGACTAGCGATGAGGGAATGAATATGGGCTTCAATAAGAATAATAACAGCAAAGGATTAAAACTCATCAAGTATGCATTAATGACAATTTAAAAAGAATTCTCTTGCCTGGATCTATAAAGCAATGGATAGCACACTGAACTTCTAAAAAGAATTCTCTTTGAGGGGGAGTTACGGATTCATTATTCTGAAAACCGATAAATAAAAGAAATATTTCATCTGGCTCTTCTATGTAAATTGTACCTCAGGGTAACCCTTTTTTGGTGAGGGGAGGTGTCTCTTTATAGACGTGTTCCAGTTAATAAAATGAAGAGGGAATGGGGCACCTTCGTGGCTCAGTCGGTTGAGTGACCGCCTCTTGGTTTTGGCTCAAGGTCATGATCTCAGGGTCCTGGCACCTGGAGCTCAGAGTCAGGCTTCGGGCTCAGCAGGTAGTTTGCTTCTCTCCTCCTCCTATCTGTCCCTCTCCCTGTGCCCCCCCTCGATCCCCCCTTACCCCTCCGCCCCCGCTCCTGCCCACGCTCACTCATGCTCTCCCTCTCAAACAAATAAATACAATCTTTTTTAAAAAGGATTTTATTTATTTATTTTATTTGAGTCAGAGAGAGACTAAGAGAGAGAGAGAGGTGGGGAGGGGCAGAGGGAGAAGCAGGCTTCCCGCAGAGCAGGGAGTCCCAGGCGGGGCTCGATCCCAGGACCCCCAGATCATGACCTGAGCTGAAGGCAGACGCTTAACCGCCTGAGCCACCCAGGTGCCCCCAAGTAAATAAATTTTTTTTAAAACTTATCAAATAAATGACAGAATATCACCATTTTGCAAACAATGAAACAGTAGATTTAGGTAATGATAGCATTAACGGCAACCAACATTGCAATAAAAGAAAAATCAAATCATCCAATTCTTTAAAAAGAAAAAAGGAAACTTAAGAGACATTTCCACTAAATGCAATGTGTGAACATGTGAACCTTGATCCAAACAAACTGAGGAAGATAGGAAATTTATGCACTGACTGAATATTTGATATTAAAAAACTGTAGATTACTGGGGCTCCTGGGTGGCTCAGTCGGTTAAGCATCTGCCTTCGGCTCAGGTCATGATCTGGGGATCCTGGGATCGAGCCCCTCCGCATGGGGCTCCCTGCTCTGCGGGAAGCCTGCTTCTCCCTCTCCCACTCGCCCTGATTGTGTTCCCTCTCTCACTGTGTCTCTGTCAAATAAATAAATAAAATCTTTAAAAAAATTCTTAAAATGACAACAACAAAAAACTGTAGACTACTTAAATATCGTGATAATACTGTGATTATGTTTTTACTTCTAAAGGTGCATATGACAATGTTTACGAATAAAATATGCCCAGGATTTCCTTTACAATAATCCAATAGGGGCCATTGGAAGTGGCTTAAAGGGTATACTTGAAATTAGCCATGACTTGATCATTGTTGAATTGAAGTTGTAAGTGCATAGAGCTTCATTACACTAGTCCCTCTACTTTTGGAAACATTTGAAATTTTCTGTAATAAAACAAAAGAAAAAATAATGAAAGCTGCACTTCCCTTCCCCGTAAAAAGTATGGTGGGGGTGAGGCTTGTCAGCTTTTCTTCTTGGGACGGTAGAAAAGGGGAATTGAAGACGCTGAGTAGCACTTGGCAGCTAGTGTAGGGAATAAAGGCCCAAGGGTTTGAGCCAGTGGCTGGCGCTTTGGAACCAGCTGCAGCCTGAAGCCGGTGATGAAGAAAGGAAATCCAAGAAGCTGGGGTGAGCCTCAGGGCTTAAGAGCTGCAAGGTCCTAACCTGTTGAACTTTTTGAGCAACAAGCCTGTAAACAATCATGAGTCCTTAACTCTGAAACAGAAAAAAAAAGAGCTATTTTGCTCATTTAATAAACATGGGTTACACACAGGACACTGTGCTCGCTGAGGTAGGTTCATAAAAACAGCAAAGACACAATCCTTGCCATCATGAAACTCCCAGTGTTGTAAGAAGGCTAAAACACCTTGATTTGGAAAGCAGTATTGCTAGTATAACATTAATGTGTAAGCATAACATTCACAAGCAACAGGGAAAATAGGAGGAGCATCCAAGTTTTTCTTTAGGAACCAGAGGTTTCACAGAAGAAATAGCTTTTGAGATAAAATTTGAAGACTAAGTTGGTGTTTGCCAGGACCAACAGCCAGAAGCAAAAGGATTTCAGAAAGAAGGAAATGAATTTGCAAGACATAACATGAAACTACAAAGGCATATTCTGGGAACTACAAGTACTTGTTTTGCTAGAGCCTAATGTAGGGGTCTTAGGACCCATTCTCCAGCCTGCCATGAAGATAACTTATTTCCCTTATTCTAGACCTGGGACAAGGGGAAGGCCTTAAGCTTTCCTTTAAGTGTTTAAAACTGGTTTCCTTGTTGGGAAAGGGACAGGAGATCCCACTTCGAGGGGAGGTACGGATTGTGGGCCAGACTGCATTTTAGAACAATTTTAAGATGCAGTCCAAGAGAGGCTGATAACAAAAAGGAAAAGTGAGAAGTGTTTTGTTTTTTTTTTAAAGATTTTATTTGAGAAAGAGAACAAACGGTGGGGAGGGGCAGAGGGAGAGGGAAAAGCAGACTCCCCGCTGAGTGGGGAGCTCTATGCCCAGCTGGATCCCAGGACCCTGAGCCTGGACTCATGATCTGAGCCGAAGGCAGACCCTCAACTGACTGAGCCACCCAGGCGCCCGAAAATTGAGAAGGTTTAAGGCCCAACAGAAACCCTTGCTGAGTGGCAACATTCTACTTCCCTCAATTATAGATCTTTGTAGAAGGAGGAAGATGATGAGTCAGTCAGAAATGAATGGTCTAAACTTTTCCTGCAGCAGCAAGGTTTTGTACCCACGGCAGTTTTAAATGGACTACCTCCCAGCATTTATTTTCAAACAAATCCTTTTCTTTTTATTCATTGTTGTACAATGTAAGTGCTCATCTAAAGAGGCAGTTTGATGCACTTATTTCAAAACTACTGATTATACCTAAAATACCGTAATAGAAAACGTTGCTGTGAGCGCAGTGCTGGAAAGAAGCGACAAGAAATCAGGTAGCATTACAAAATCGGTCCCAAAAAGTGGATGGAAAACACGAGTAGATTGGTTCTAGACAAGCAAGGCCTCTCCCAAGCGCCTTGCACTGCACTGTAAAGTCTTCATAAACATCCGCTGGGCGACTTTACATAACAGCGCTCCCACGCCTCTCGACTCGCTCCCGACGGTCGCTTCCCCCGGCTTCGGGGTGCCCTCGAGGTCCAGTTACACAAGATCGGGCCCTGGCCACCGCGCCCTGCGTGGCGCAAGACGTCGCGTGAGCTGTTCGCACCGGTCCCTGCATCCACGGGATCCTTGGGGTCGCGGACCTCCTGGCTGCGAGCGACCAGTCACGTTCAGGAACCAGGCGGAGGCGGCAGCCTCCAGCCCGCGCACGTAGCGCCGGGGTCCGGGCGGGTAAGGGCCAGGGAAGGCCCCGCCCCAGTCTCCGCCCCCTCCCCCACTCCTCCAGGTGCGCGTGCGCCGCGGCCCCGCCCGCCACCCGGCCTGGCTCTCCTCCCGCTGGGCGGCAAGCCCCAGCTTTTTTACGCTTTTCAGCGGCCTCCCACGCGCGCAGCTGCAGCCGCGGACTCCTCCTTGTCAGCCCGGCTGTGGGGCCATGGCGTGGCGGCGGCGGCCAGAGGCCGGCGTCGGGGCCCGCGGCGCGCTGGTGCTGCTGGCGCTGGCCCTGTACGCGCCCGGGACCAGGGGCCGGGCGCTCGAGTGGTACTCGGCCGTGGTGAGCACCGAGTACGTGGACCCGCACACGAACCGCACCGTGTGGAGCGTCTCGGAGAGCGGCCGCTTCGGCGACAGTTCGCCCAAGGAGGGCGCGCAGGGCCTGGTGGGCGTCCCGCGCGCGGCGGACCGCGACCCCGAGGGCTGCGCGCCCGACACTGGCTTTCTCGTGCCAGCGCCTGGCGGCCGGGGGGACGCGCCCTGGGTCGCCCTGGTGGCGCGCGGGGGCTGCACCTTCAAGGACAAGGTGCTGGTGGCGGCGCGGAGGAACGCCTCGGCCGTGGTCCTCTACAACGAGGAGGGCCACGGGAACCTCACCACGCCCATGTCCCACGCGGGTGAGCCAAGGCTGGGGGCTGTGGGGAGGCGGCGGGAGGAGCTCTGCAGCTTAGTTATGGCCGACGGCCCTCTCGTCCTCGGCCTTGATCCCCAGGGGCAAGCCGCGAAGGGGTTTGGGGGCGCGACTCTGATGGCTTCTGGCGGTCAGGAACTGGGAGGGAAGCTCTGGATGTGCGCGCCGTGACCCCCCCGGGGCTCTGTGGGCAGGTAGGAAGTCCTCCAGACAAGATTAGATCTTCGCTTTGGGCCCTTCAGGTGTAGGGAGGCGCCCTCTGAAGGAGGGCAATGGGGAGAACGAAAGAAATTAAAAGCCACCCAAAGAGGGTTGTGGTGGAAAGTCTCATGATTGCTAATCATGGGTCCCTTTCCATTCATCGTTTTTACAAAGTCAGGTGAGGTAGGAATCCAAGGTCTGGCAGTCCCTTCACCAGTGTCAAGTGGTGGCTTGGTCGAACTCTGGTTTCTCCACTTTCATAGAACGTGTCTGAGTATTCGGAACTTTTGAGTCAGAAGATCTGGACTTAACTGAGTCAGAAAACCTGGATTTAAGTGCGGATATGTTTTCTCACTTCCTACATGTAAGGCTATAATACTGGCCCAACTGCCAGTCAGCTTCCTTGAGTCTAGAGTTTAGATGAAATTTTTCAGGTTGTATTCATTCAGGAAAAGGTCTTGCTCTTTGCCAGGCGACACTTCCCATACCTAGTCCCCAGGGCAACAGGTTGCATCTTCAAGCACTGATGACAGTTTGAGAGTCCTATTTTGCAAGACGTCCTCAGAACTGAAATCTGAATGTTATAGGACCTGTACCCAGCAGAGTGAACATATTTCTGTTATGATTTCTAAGAGCATGACTCATTCTGAATTTATTGTGATTAAAGTCTTTTTTTAAAGTTTCTGCTGCTGCAAGTCAGACATCCTTTTTCCTATACTTTTGTTTTTCATTCTGCTTTGATTTCTTAAAGGCAAGTTCAAACTTAACACAATGAGGACAGAAAGGGACTTTGGATTTGGCCTATTTTAGCTGTGATGGGAATAGAAATCAGTTGAGAGGTGAGAAAATGGAGACTGTTAGAACAACTTTTTTAAGAAGGTTGACTCTGGAGCGCCTGGGTGGCTCAGTTGGTTAAGCGACTGCCTTTGGCTCAGGTCATGATCATGGAGTCCCGGGATCGAGTCCCACGTTGGGGAATCTGCTTCTCCCTCTGACCCTCTTCCCTCTCGCGCTATCTCTCATTTTCTCTCTCTCTCTCAAATAAATAAAATCTTAAAAAAAAAAAAAAAGGTTGACTCTGAGGGCTCAAGGTGTGCTGAGAAGTGTGCAGAAACTATAGGGCAAGGGAGGGTTAGGGTGGACGATGGTAGGGCATACTGAAATTGGTTGGGAGTGATGTGGTGGAGATCCAGGATAGAGAAGAGGTAACTGCAATAGTCAGGTCTTGAAGAAGGCCACGTCTAGGATATTTTGGAGGGGTTGACCTCAGACAGTAGAGGGGAAGTTCTCAGTTCCAACAGAAGGAAGTGGTTTTGGAAGAGGAAATGGGAGCAGATGCTTATGTGGTGGCATTGGGTGAGGCACCACGTCTGGTGCCGCTATTCCGGTAAGTATAAGTCTACCAAGTTGTCATTGTACCCAAGCCATGTTTCCGTAAAACTACCATGAAAATCCCTGTCAGATTTCAGAGACCATTCCTGATACATCCTGTCAATGGTGTTTTCCCAATTTTAGTAGATCTGTCTAGGAAAAGAGGTTAATGTGTCAGGATTCTCTGATTCTGGGTCCTTGCAGTCTCTTCTGAGTGTATAACATCTTCATTTGGACCTTTTCTTTTCAATGGCTGGCGCGTCGGCTACAATTTTCTAAATCTGTTTACTGCATTTTTTGATAATGATGTTACATTTTTCCAGGCTAATAGCACTTGCTCTAACCATGGATCGGCCACCTTGCTGGCTTATATTATTTGACATAATTTAGCCAGGCCCCGAAAAACACCTCATTGATGTTTATTTTAAATCCTCATGAGTTTCTCTTCTATTATCAATGCCCATTCGAGTCTTTTTACTGTGAGAATCATTTTGAGAAAAAAGACAAAAGTAACAGCTTTAGCACCTTTTTTTTTTAAATGTGTGAAAGTACCCAGTGTGCAGGCACTGTGCTCAGGGCTCTCCATACAGCGGTTCACTTAACCCTCCGGACAGCCTTTTCATGTAGGTACTTTCACTCCATTTTATGGATGAGGAAACTGGTCCATGGTAACAGGAGGGTCTGTACATAGCCAGATCATTCTTTGTTGTGGGAGGGGCTGTCCTGTGCATCATAGGATGTTTAGCATCCCTGGCCTCTACTTACCGGATTCCAACAGTACTCCTCCAGTTGTGACAACCAGAAATGTCACCAGGTAATACCAAATGTCTGGAGGGGCGGGGGAGGGAAGTGATGACAGAATCATCCAATGTTTTGAACCACTGACTTAAAGGGAGATTAATTTGGTAGCATTGTGACCAGTGGATTAAACAGAGGAAAGCCTACAGAGACTGTAGTCTGTTGGGCTGATGCAAATAAAGTTGACCCTTGAACAACACAAGGCTTAGAGGCACCAACCCCCCATGCAGTGGAAAATCTGTGTATAACTTTTGACTCCCCCAAAACTTAACCACTAATAGCCTCCTGTTGACTGGGCATTTTACCAATAACATAAACAGTCAAACACATGTTTTGTATGTTATTTGTCTTGCATACTGGATTCTTACAATAAAGTAAGCTAGAGGGAAGAAAATGTTATATTAAAATCATAAGAGAAAAGACATTGACTATACTGTACTATACTGGAAAAAAAATTCTTGCATAAGTTAACCCACACGTTTCAAACCCATGTTGTTCAAGGGTCAGCTGTATAAGGGCCAATACTGTAGTGGTGACTATAGGAATGGAAAGGAATGACCTTCAGAGAACTTGGCCCAACTGGGAACAAGGGTACAAATGTATCATGACTTTTTGAGAATGGAGTAGCGTTAAGAATGGAATGAATGGAATTAAGTCAGAGGACAAACTGGCTTTGACATATTTGAATTTGAAATGTACGGAACCTTGAATGCAGCTCAAGTTAGGTTTCTTGGATTTTGTCAGAATGTGGCTGGAGGCAGTAAAAACCGCAGATAGCAGTGGTTTCAATGTTCCCGTGTAGCAAGGGGGTTCTGCAAAATAGGCAGAGGTGGCTGCTTGTAAAACTGAATCGTGATAGTCTTTTCCCAAATCTCAGGGAGAATTTCTCCAGTTTTTCTTAAGCCTATTGCTTGACTCTACTAAATCCAGTACAGGATACTTTGGGTATAAATCAGTGTTTTATCATGGTTCTAAAAATAAAATCATGACTTTAAGATAATCTGTCAGAACAACTGTAAGGACTGTTAAACTAATTAATTCCCTGTTAATTAATCTTAGTTAATTCTCTTTACTTTAGCAGACAGAATAATGAGTAGCCACTTTGGGCTAAGTATTGTGCTTGCTAAGGCATAGAAATGCCTAAGACACATGCCTGCCTTTGAGGAGTTTGTGACCTGGTGGGAGCAATAAACAACTTTCCAGACAATATGGTTTGGACCCTGATGGAATTACATGCACGGATGCTTAGGAAGCATAAAGGAAGGACATCTAAAGCAGATACTGCAAGGGTGACTAGTAGTTAGTTTGACCAAGAGGAGTAAAAATTGATACAAGTCAAATCATTAAAAGTTTTTATAGATTATTGGCTTTAGTGTAATTATTGTTGGTTAATAAATAGGATTATCCTTTAGCTGAAATCTTGGCATGGCCTTTTAAGGATAGATTCATTCATTCACTCTGTATACAGTTAACTTTATTCATTCTGTTAACAGCTGTTTACTGAGTGCCAAGTACTGGCATGGCTTAGAGCTATGTTTGAAGAAGGGGCCAGAGTTGGGGTGGAGGGAGACGACAAAAATGTAAAAGTCCCTAGTGTTATAGAAGATGTGCATTTTGCATTTGCAGAGCATGGTAGATAGTTTTTTATGAATAATACATTTTTGATGATGTTTAATGCTATACTCAAATGATCCAAAAATGTGGATTTGAATTATGTATCGTGGTGCTGTAGGAAGACAGAAATGGCACCTCACAGGCACACTTAGAAGGTGGGATTAACTAAGATGGTTCCCAGAAAGATTGAGTTTTGAAAGACACGTTGATGGAGAAGGTGTCTCTGGGTGTGTATGGTGTGTGGAAGGGGGGTTTGGGCTATAGGACATTTCTTGGTGGTGGGAACAACATTGCAAGAGGCTGAAGCCCTGAAATAAAGTAATGCCTTTAGGAACCCTGCAAAGAGCTGTATATGCAACAAATACAAAATATTTTTGAGCAAGTCGAATTATCCAGAACATAATTTAAATTTCCAAGAAAAGAATTACATTTGTTTTTGTGTCCTCCTGACACTCCGTAGCCAACCATAAAAACATTTGTTTTGCATAATAGCTTTAAATTTTGGGGACATTTGCATTCATATCAGGTGTACTCTTTCTATTAATATTCTCCTTATTGGGGCATTTCAGCTATACTACTTGAAGATAAGCCCATTTTTTCAGATAGATTCATGCATACAGAAACTCTTCTATGGGTCACCACTGCATACTTGGCTACAAAAACTAATAAATAAGAACAGGTAGTACTCGTCTAGTGAGGGAGAGAGACCTATAAAGAAGTTCTAGTTGGTGTTTTATACACCTGCTAGAGCTGTATCTAAGAGGAACTGATGCATTGCAGGCCTAAAGGGGTGGGTGGTGCCAAGAAGCCTTGAGTTGAGCTTGTGCTGAATCTTGAAGATTTGACCAAGAATTTTCCAGGTTAGGGGGCAGAAGGTGGAGAGGGTATGGAAGTGATGAGAAAGAAAGAAAACCTGAAATTTAACGGTATTCTTTTGCTGGGACTCTAAAATGTATTTTCTTGCTGCCTGAATTAGTTTTCTAGAGCAGAAATCTAATCCTC